GCTCCACTTCCATATAAAAAAAATGGGATATTATTGGCCAACAATGGTAAAAGATTGCTTGGACTACGCTCGAAGATGCAAGGCTTGTCAATTCCATGCGAATTTTATTCATCAACCCCCTGAAGTGTTGCACCCGACTGTTGCATCCTGGCCGTTTGACGCTTGGGGATTTGATGTTGTTGGACCACTACCAAAGTCCTTTGGTAGGCACCTATACATCTTGGCTGCAACTGACTACTTCTCAAAATAGGCTGAAGTTGTTGCTCTTAAGGAAGTAAATAAGGAAAATGTTGCAAGTTTCATCCGAGTAAACATTATTTATCGCTTTGGCATTCCTCGTTACATAATAACGGATAATGGAAATCTATTCAACAATAGGCTGATGAACAAGATTTTCGATCTCTTTGGCTTCAAGCAACGTAACTCTTCGATGTACAATGCTGCCACCAATGGTCTAGCTGAGGCATTCAACAAGACTCTATGCAACTTGTTAAAGAAAGTCGTCTCCAAATCCAAACGAGATTGGAATGACCATATGGAAGAAACTCTATGGGCATATATGACGACTCACCGCATGCCAACACAGGCGACTCCTTATTCACTCGTTTATGGAGTCGAAGCCATCTTGCCACTTGAGCGTCAAATACCTTCGTTACGATTGGCTATTCAGGAAAAGATCATTGATGAAGAAAATGCTCGACTTCGATTAGCAGAGTTGGAGTCCCTTGATGAGAAGAGGTTGGAAGCTCAACAAAGTCTTGAATGTTATCAAGCTCGATTGTTTCGTGCCTTCAATAAAAAAGTTTGCCCGAGATCCTTTCAAGTAGGAGATCAAGTCCTTGCCATATGAAGACCCATAATTACTTCCCATAAACCTGTAGGGAAGTTCACTTCAAAATGGGATGGGCCATATGTCGTACAAGAAGTTTACTCAAGTGGGGCTTATAAGCTGGTTGATGCAGATGACATGAGAATCGGCCCTATCAATGCCAAGTTTTTGAAAAAGTATTATCCTTGAAGGTGCAACGCTCCTTGACGCACGAGCCTAAACTGCATGTTGCTACACTCCTGGCCAACATGATTCTAAATTGTGTACGGCTCCTACCAAAAAAAGAAAAAAAAAGAGTCCGCTAGGTTGAAACTTCGAAAGAGGCGGCCTAGGCAAAAGTTAGGACATAAAAAAATTACCTAGTCTGAACTATGGTATGACTTGATCCTCTTCACCGAGGTACGTAGGCAGCTTAGAGTTTCATTCTAAGTTCAGTCGTATAAGTTCAAAAGATACATATTGCCCCAATTGTTGTCCGAGTAAAGTATGAAGGAATGTAAAATCAAGCTGAAACTATCCTCCTGTTGAACTTTGATCTCATTTGATTCAATGGGGGCAAGACTCCATAGCAAATTGGCATCTCCAATGGATGGATGTAGACTTTTAGTAGAAGGCAAAATCTTCAAGTTGAAGTCCTCAAGTTCGTTGGTCTTCAAGTTAAATTATATAAGCCCTCTAAATCTTCAAGTATGTCACTCTTCAAGTTAAATTTTGCAAGTCCAACGCCCTTCAAGTTGAAGTCTACAAGTCCGCCAAACTTTAAATTGAAGTATTCAATCCCTCCATGTTTTCGAATTCGCCAGTTTTCAAGTTGAATTATTCAAGCCCTCCAAGTCTTCAAGTTCATTGGTCTTCAAGTTTAAGTCCTTAAGTTCGCCGGTCTTCAAGTTGAGTTGTTTAAGCCCTCCGATTCTTTAAGTTGTAGTCTTCAAGTCTGTTAATTCTTCAAGTTGAAGTTTAAAGTTCATCGCTCTTCAAGTTGACGCGTCAAAGTCTGCCAAATCTTCAAGCCCGTCAAACCGTCAAGTTTGTCGGTCCTTAAGTTGAGGTCTACAAATCTACCAAGTCTTTAAGTTGAGGCTTTCTAGTTTTTCAATCTTAAGGTGTACATGTTAGTCCCTTTGCACCTTAAGTTGGTCTCTTTACGGGTTTGTCCTTAAAAGGAACTTTAATTTTCCAATCTTAATGTGGACGCTTAAATCCCTTTGCACCTTAAGTTGGTCTGTTTACGGATTCGTCCGTCTATATGGTGATGCAGATTTATCCGTCTATATGGTGATGTGGGTTTGTCCGTCTATATGTTGATGCAGATTTGTCCATCTATATGTTGATGCGGATTTGTCCGTCTATATGGTGATGTGGATGTGTCCATCTATATGTTGATACATATTTATCCCCGTCAATATGTTGATGTGGATTTGTCCATCTATATGTTGAGGTAGATGTGTCCGTCTATATGTTGATGCGGATTTGTCCATCTATATGTTGATGCGGATGTGTCCATCTATATGGTGATGTGGGTTTGTCCGTCTATATATTGATGCAGATTTGTCTATCTATATATTGATGCAGATTTGTCCGTCTATATGGTGATGCGGATGTGTCCATCTATATATTGATGCGGATTTGTTCATCAATATGTTGAGGTGGATGTGTCCGTCTATATGTTGATGCAGATGTGTCTGTCTATATGTTGATGCGGATTTGTCCATCTATATGTTGAGGTGGATGTGTCCGTCTATATAGTGATGTGGATGTGTCCGTCTATAAGTTGTTGCAAGATCCGTCCGTCTATAAATTGTTATGGATGTAACCGTATATATGTTGATGCGAATTTGTCCATCTATATGTTGATGCGGATTTGTCCGTCTATATATTGAGGTGGATGTGGCCGTCTATTTGTTGATGTTGATGTGTCCGTTTATAAGTTGTTGCAAGATCCGTCCGTCTATAAATTGTTATGAATGTAACCGGCTATAAGTTGTTGTGAATTTATCCTTCGATGGGACGTCATGAAATTGCCCGTCAACTTGACACTCAACAACTTTTGTTTTCTTGGCTACAAAAAAAAAGACAACAAAACAAAAAAAGCATAAGAAATTACCTTTGTGTCAATGCTTTCGAGTCCACAAAAACAGACTCAAGTGAATGGCAAATAATGCAAAAGGATGTTCAACAAATACAAGCACACGGGTTTATATAGATCTTTGAAAGAAGACGTGACAATGATGCTACCGATGTGGGATGTGTGCTAAGAGGCTGTAGTAGTATATTAGTTTTCCTTCTCCTAAATGAATTGAAATCCTTTTCTTGCTATAATTGACTATGCGCAAGTTTCGGTTTCTGATGCATTTGACTAGCCCTTGTCCGTGTATTTTTGTGATTACAATACCTTGGGATTAATGAGGAGTGCCAATTATTAAATAATCATCACAATTGGTCAAAGGAATAAATCCATGTGGATCCATTGGTTAGAAAAAAAGGATCTTTGCTGTCAACTGGTTGGGGATAATCACTTTGAAGTAATACTAGAAAGGAGTTCATATGCACAAATATGCTCTAAGCGTACTGTACATTTATTTACTTAAGATACTTCAAGCCTAGTTTCGGAAGTTTGACGTTTGCTTATCCCAACAAGTCTTGAACTAGGGGGCATTTGTAGGCATTTAAAATTTATTGGAATTAAATCCGTAAAATGATTTGGATTATATTTTAAATTCAAGATATATCAGTTCAAATAAATTTATTGGATTAATATAATTGGATTAGTTATATAAGTTCAATATATACGGATTAAATAAATAAGTCTTAATCCATTGGGCTAAAGTGATGAGCCCACTTCATTAAGCCCAAGTTGTCATCTTCTTAGAGGCCCAGTTTGGTGCCACGTGTCAAATGACGTGGCGCGCCAAGTCAAGCGGAAGAGCCAATAGGATCATGCCACATGTCAAAATGACAAGGCATGCCAAGTCACATTAAAAGGCCAATAAAATCGCGCCACATGTGCAACTGACATGTTCTGGCCAATCAAATGCGGTCATGTCACACTTCAATTTGGTTGGTCAGAAAGAGTTTGTTCTTATCATAACTCTTCCCTTCCACAACTATAAATAGCGGTCTTCATAACCCAGAAAAGAGACCAGAAGTTATAACAAAAAGCAAGAGAGAGCTCGTGGATCAAACGCCGCAAATTTCTCTACAAGTTTCAAGCTTCAAGCAATCAGTTCAAGTTCAAGAAATCAAGTTCAAGCTCAAGAACGAAGAACGAATCAAGATCAAGTTCAAGCATTCAAGCTCAAGCTCAAGCTCAAGAACAAGATCATCGTTCGTGGAAACAAATATAGATTCAAGATCAAGCTCAAAGGCCCTTGAATTTATTTACTATTGGAAGGAAGAATCAGAGGATTCATAGAGATTGTAAACTCAAATATTCGAAATAAGATACTACAAAATTGTTGCGATATTTTTCGGTCTTGATTTTATTTTCTCGACGCAAATTTATTGTCTACAGTGGGTTCGAAATGTTGTTGGTTTGAAAGTTTATGGCTTCATGTTTATTATATCTAAATTATCTATGAATACTCTTAAGAAGTCATTTTCCTTAATTTGCGTACCAAACACCGAAAAATATTTTCCAAGAAAAACTTCCATTATACCAAACACACCCTATATCTTCTATCATCGGTTGTAAATAACTCTTTTGTGAGGAAAACACTTTCAATAATTCAAATAATCAAATATTTAAACTAATTTCATAAAGATATTTTCGAAAATAATCTTTTCACTTATTAAAAAACACCACTAGTAAACTTAAACGGTCACAAAGCGATACCAAAAGGATTTCTTTTGGCAAAACATAAAAGCAAGGCGCTTAATTCCATTTATGTGAGCTTGTTTACATTGTCGGTTTCAAGCCTGAATGAAGAAGATGGTGACAATCCATATAAAATTTGACAACTTATTAATCCTCATAATACATGTATTAATGGAAAGTGCTCATTCTAAATTTGTTTTTCGGATTAAGCGTAAATTTTATTATTTATGGTCATAAAATAAAATCAGGACGCCTACGGTATAAAGAGGAAAAAGAAAACAAAAAAGGGAAGTGGTAATTTGTGGCAAAACCATCTAAGAGCCCATGCATTCGCCATACCATTTGAAAACAAATTAATTGGATAAGTGAAGGCAGGCCCAACCTTGAGCTTCGGAGAAACGACCATCTCCTCCTCCTTTCGTTTTAATCTCAAAAGCTTCTCCCTCAAAATTAATTACCCCTACTAAAAATGGAAGGTACTCTTAGCTTCAGGAGTTGCTCTCAGGCTCAGCTCCCCTTACAACCAACTTCTTTCCCTCCTCAATTCCCCAACAAGTTCCAATTCTTGGTTCGCTCTTGCTATTTTCCTCTTATATTACTTTTATTCCAATTTTATTTATTGAGATTTTGTATGCAGAGAGTACAGAAAACGAAGCCTTTGAGCTCGCCGCAGTGTTATCAGAGCCGTCGTTTGGTGATTAGGAAGGCGTTGGGGACGGGCGATAATGGGCACTTTGATGATTTTCCAGTTACACCTAACAAGATTTTTATGGAAGAGGTAGGTATTTTGCCTTTACTAGCTTCCCTTTTAACTTATTTCATCTATATTGCACCTATACTTTCCGGCTGTTTCCTCTTGGGTTGACGCTCATAGCTTAAGATGGTTCTTCTTCAGTATTTATATTCCTGTCTTTGAATTTTTTCATCCCATTTCTCTGTTCCAAAAATAAAAATAAAAATTCTAATATTTCGTCTAAATTAATTATTTAGACTAAAATATACGTATATAGAAGCTACACAAAATAAACTACACAAAATGTTCCCAAGATGATTGTTGAATGGTTGAGGCATAGGAGTAATAACTAGGAGGTCTCAAGTTTGGGTCCTACTTATACCACTCAGTGACAATCCATTTGCTTCAGTCTTGTTGTTCAGGATTACTTGGTAGCTTTGGTCATGGGCAGTGGCGGAGCCAATAATATATGCTAGGAGATTAAAAAAAATACTAGTATGTTGCAGTTTGGATTTGAACCTATGACCTAGAGCAATTTTTGAACTCCTTTGCCACTATACAAGAATCTTCTCTTATGTTAAGGGGATTCAACAGTTTATATATGACCAAAAAAGTTCATTTTTGCCAGTATTATTTTCCGGCAAAAGGGATTCAATTGAACCCCTTGGTTCTATATAGCTCCGTCCCTGCTCATGGGATGTAACATGTTGCCAACTGAATACTCGAGTTGCACACAAGGTGGCCTAAGTTACAGTATTTATAATTAAAAGTATTTAGAAAAGTGTTTGAAAGAACAGTTTGATTTCCCAATAATGATATCGTTGTTTAAAATGGGACTAAGGGGTATTTATTTGTGTGTATCGGATTTTGCAGGCAATTGGTGCCGAATACGGAGAAGGTTTTGAGACATTTAGACCCAATGGAATGCTCAAAGTTGATGTGGTAAGTCCAAAAGTTTAGTTTTGTAGTATTTTTATGAGTCTTTGCGCCTTGTGGTGCTCCAGGCACCAGATCTGTACTCAAAGAGTTCCTCTTTATGGATTTAGGATTTCTTAAATGATAGACTGCAAGCAGGTTTCCTCCAAAGAATCCGTTATGCGATGAAGCCTGATGAAGCTTACGGCCTCATTTTCTCTTGGGATAATGTGGTGGTAAGACCTCAATCTTTGACTATCTGGTCTAATTTAGGAGAGGTTACCTGATTTGTGATCAGCTGTTACCTGATTTGTGATAAACTGTATAAATGAACGTGGTCCCTGAAGCCTGGCTGACAAATTATTATGTCTACATAAAAGGAACTAATCTTCTGTTGTTGATTACTTGATTTGCCCTATGTTTATATCACTTCTTGTTCCCGTCTACAGTTGCATGCTAATAAGGATTCTTGAAGTGTGCTGGTTTTGTTACATTCAGATCCAACATTTGATGACCTTTCCTTACAAACTCATAACCTTCTTCTCTTTTCTTTTTTTTTTATTCCGCATACCTTTTTGGTTCTTATATGGGATACTCTATCTTAAATTAGGTGTGAACGATAGATTAAACATGGATAGGATTAAACTGCAATAGAAGTACAAGATATCCGAATTGTGATGTTTTCATCACTCACCCTAGGAGTTAATGCTATAACAACAACAACAACAACTACTATGCCTCAGATCTAAACAAGTTTATGCTTCAAGATATGACTCCTACTGAATAGAGGTTGCTTGTTTTGTATCAGACAAAGTATTGGGTGCATGGACTGGAACTCGGACAAAAGGCCACAGGAACTTGGGTTCATGTTAGGAAAGAAGAACTTGATAGAATGAGAAAAAAGAGTTATATGCATATGAACAATGTACATCTTGATCACATGTCTAAATATCTTGATATAGTATGATGGTAGAGAGAGAGAGAGAAAAGATAATATTGGATTGATTTCCTGTAGATATGTTGCTGAAGAGAAGGTGTAAGATAATTGTAGACCAAAGATGTGGTAAGATATTAACGTTCCAATAATGAAGCTAGCAGTAATTGCTTTGCCGATTTCTTTTCTTCTACTTGAGCGGAAGTCGCAACATTCAACTCTTTGTTGACAAAGTAAGTAGTTCCACATCTTATTTTTCAGGCAGATTCTGGAGCTCTGAAGTTGGATGCGTGGAATCAACTTGCCTCTGAAGAAGGTGAGTGACTTGCCTTTTGCTCTCTCATCTCTCTGAGTAATTGAAGTTCTTCACTTGGTTTGCATGCAAATATCAATATATTTCAGCAGTAAAGCATTAGCCAATCCGAGTGGGATTGAAATTACAGAATCATACTTTGGTTTCATATTGTAGTACAGTGGAATTATTTGTCCTTATATCATTTGAAAAAAAGAAAGAAAGAAAGAAAAATCCTCTAAAAGGGAATGGGTTTATATTAAAGTTCTAAAGTTTTCTGGGGCCCCTAAAAGAGAATGAGAAGATGGGGAATGTGATAGGATTTAGCTGTCTGCTGCCAGTACTGGCATACCCATCTGGAGTGCCAGTGACATGTCATCCGTGCATAATCAGGGATCTTATTGGCACTTTTAGTATCTCCATGTCTATGTCAGACAGTGAGAGTGGTAACTGTTTTTCCAATTTTTTAATGAGATCCGTAAATATATAGGTCAGAATCTTTTTGGCCTCTGTGAGTCCAAATTGACCTATATCAGAGATCAGGGTGAAATTGGCTTCACTAAATGGTTTATCTCCCGTCACGAGCTGAATGGAAGCCTTGTTCTTGGGGGAAAGGGAGGGGGGCAGGCCGTAAGTTTGCAATTTTAAACAATTGGGAAGGGTATGATATAAAACTAATCTTTGCAGTTTATGGGGAGATAATAAATAGCTAAAGCATGATCCTCTGATCCTATTAAAGACAACAATTGCTGTTTTTCCTGACTTGGTCTAGTGAATTTTCAGAGAACATAGCACCTGTACTTTCCTCAGTTTGTATATTCCCATATCTGATGCTTTTAGTTTTGACTATATTTTGTCAAATAATATGAATTATTTATCATTTGTTATGTGCAGGATTAGAGATTCCTGAAGATTATAACGTGCAGCGGCTGTTACTTTATGCAGATGCTGATCAGGTTCTAGATAAGGTTTGGAGTTGATGATCATACAACTCATGAGTGCCTATTTTTATTTGAGCAATGAGTTGGATAATGACCTTTCTTAATTTTTGTCCAAGTCTGCGGCCCATCAATTTTTTTACTCTTTTGTTAGGTAAATAATTATTAAATACTCTGGGAAATTTGCCTATATATGCATATGAGTCAGTGTGCATGTCTTTTTTTTTTTTGATAACCGTGGTGTCCGGGCCAGCTTGTGCGCACCTCGACTAATTCCACGGGATACCTGCCACCTCCCACCAGCAACAAGTACTAGGTAACTCTATCCACCAAAGCTTGGATAGATGAGAAGAAATCACCTAGTGTTTTTTGTCTCCGCTGGGATTTGAACCAGTGTGCATGTCTTTTGATTGGAGAAATAGTGGACTGTCAGCTTTGAGTTTACTTTTTAGAATTTTTTGGGGAGGTAAATATAACATATCTCTAGGGGAGATTACTGAGATAAAAAATAGTAATAATCGAGCCCCTTCCTACCCCCCCCCCCCCCCCAAAANCCCCCCAAAAAAAAAATAAAAATAAATAATGAGCGGGTGGGGGATGTAAAGCTCAAAATGTCATCTGCACAAACTTTTAGGTTTAAATGGTACGAGTCCCACTTGCTTTTGGGAGATTGTGTTCTAGTTTTGTAGAAACTTTTCTTATATATTCAAAGCTTTATTAAAGCTGTCTATTTCTGAGAAATCCTATGCAATTGACAGGTGCTGCTGAGGGAGAAGAAGGAAGCTGATCGAGATCGATTGAAGACGAGGCTTTCCCAAATCTATTATGACAATCTTCTCAAAGTAAATCCTTTTTGCAGAATAATCATGCTGTCATTTTTCATGAACTCAAAACCATAATTATAATTCTCCTCTTTTTAGATTTCAGAACCAATTGAAGGGTTGAAGGAATGGTTGGATGCTGTATCAACTGCCCGTATCCCTTGCGCTGTTGTGTCAAGTCTTGATCGCAGAAATATGGTTGAAGCCTTAGAGCGCATGGGGCTCATGAAGTACTTCCAGGTAAAGCTAAATACATTCTCTGAGAGATGATGTATAAAATGTGGTCGGCACGTAACATGTGCATGCTGTTGATGCAGGCAATTGTGACAGAGGAGGATGGAATGGAGTCCATAGCACATAGATTCCTTTCTGCAGCTGTAAAGGTAAGGCTGAAGTGTATTTTGAGTGTTGGACTGGTGCATTTCTAACAGTTTAAAGGATTCCAAAACCATATTAAGCTTACTGTCCAATTTGGATTCTTTAGGGATGGGGATGCTTTTAGCAGATTTGATCTCTTACTAGCATATGAGAGAGAAGATTATATAGAACTGTGGTGTGTGAACTAACTTTTTTTTTATTTTAATCTGGTGTGGCAGTTACAATTTTTTATTTAAATTTACAGCTGTGTTCAATGTTTACTAAATCCTAGAAATATAGGCTGCTGCACCACTTAAATGGTAGATCAACTGTATACTCTCTACTCTTTCCTCCACGCATTTTAAGTGCAGACCAAAATACAGACCTTCTTTTCGACTCTCTTGGTTTTCTTGGGTCTTACCGTTTGAAAAATCTTCTGCAGCTGGACAGAAAGCCATCAAAGTGTGTGGTGTTTGAGGATGATCCTAGGGGGATAACTGCTGCTCATAACTGTACAATGATGGCTGTAGCACTTATTGGTGCCCACCCAGCGTATGTATTACTATTTTCTGGTTTTTCTCCTTATTGTTGAAGCTCCTGATTCTGTCTTTTTTTCTTCTTTCTTTTGAACTGTCTAATTGCATTATGTTTGGACACAAAATATACTTTGCTGCCAAAAAGGAGTCCCGGACTCTTCTTCCCTGTAAGGGAGGGGTGGGTTTAGGAGTATGCACTTACTGCAATATCTGTTTCTGAATGTTTGTGTTATTTTAATTTTCTTCAAATGCAGTATGTTACTGCTTCTTTTTGCAAATTTTGATTTAGGACTTTGAAACTTGCAGGTACGATTTAGGGCAAGCTGACCTTGCTGTAGGTAGCTTCAGTGAGCTTTCTGTGATCAATCTCAGGAGACTACTATATGCACATAAAGGCTCCAACTTTATGGACCTACAGAAGCAAATAGTGGAAAAAACACCTCGCAGAAGGAAGCTTACAATTGACACCATTTTCTAATCAAGTTCCATACAAGTCTTCCTCCTTTTCCTACTTGTAAATGGCCTTTTTAGTGTATAATCTATAGATCATGCCGTCTCTTGCCTTCATTCATTCTTTAGGTAAAATGTAGCTGGCAGAAGATGATTTACCTTGGGGGTAATCGGAAATTCAGAAATCCTATTTCTCGTCTCCCTTCTTGTTTTCCCTTTTTTTTTTTTTTTTT